GTTCTGACAGGATTTATGCAGTCTACATCTGGTATTCAGCAAGCATATTTTTCTTTCTTTTTCATTGAACTTCTGCCCATACACATATACAGGGTCTCATTTTAATAGTGGGATTATTCCCTGTGTATTTAAATACACAGGAAACAGGAAATCATCGAAAAGAACACAGTGATCTCATGGTTATATCACTTTTCCCCACAAGCGCGTTTGGAATCACAGACAAAGAGAAGATTCTGGAGCTTATAGCTTAAGAGTTTCTCAACCTGAGAGGCTGACTGACCTTAAGTTCCCTCTTCTGGTTCTTAACATAGCACAAATTAAGAAAATGAAATAGCACATTTATTCCAAGACACAGAAAAGAAAAGGATAATTATTTTCAAAATAAATCTGTGTTAAGCTCTCAGAAAAGTAAAAAGGCATTTTCACATTTGGTTGGCTGATAAAGCAGGAGTCAGAAGGTGTAGGGATAGCCCTCTAAGAAGGACTCAGCCCTCTAAGAAGGTCCCTAGACATTCCAACATAGATCACAGTTGGACATAGGTTCTCTCAAAGTCGAACTGGGAATGTAGAAACCTGTATTTACTGAACACTAACATGTCTTGACCAGGTTCCACTTAATCCTTACGAAGGCCATATAAGATAGGTATTATCAGACCCATTTTACAGATGAAGAAACTGAGGTTGAACTCCTAAAGACTCAATACATTTTAAGGGAGAGTGTTTCTCCCAACTAGCAATTCTCTTCATGGGATAGGGTTGCCTAGGATGCTCTCACACCACAGCCTTGGGAAAAGGCTTGAGAGCACACTCTTCTTACAGCACCCTGGGAACGGAACTTCCAGGCTCCATCCCTGACTCTACCAGAATAGGTACCAAAGGTGCTCAAAGCGATGGCTCTGAGAAATGACAGCTCTAGAAGTCTTTTCTCCATCAAAGAACAAAGAAATTAGGCTCTGCATACTTCAGTGTATTTTATTACTTTAAATATTGGTATCTCTTTCTGGTACCTATGTCAACTCTGTTAACTTGAATGTTTAATTAATCTATTTTATTCCCCAATTATGCCAAAGAATAAAACATCTGTGAAAGCAGGATGCCTTTGTTCTGCTCCTGGAACAACCACCACCCTGCTCCCAACTCTTTAGTAATGCCAAGGTTTTCCTCCATCTCGTTTGATTCAGACATTTTGCTGGTTCTTACCCTACTTCCTTTTCTGTGAATGTTCTTCTTTCCCATTCATCGGAAACTGCCACCATCAAAACCTGGTTCAAATCTCCCTCAAAGTTTCTATTATCAGCCCCAAGAGGATTTTAACTTTTTAAACGTACCCTGAATAGATGTATATTCAGTCTATATAATCTTGGAACTACATTACTTTGAATTGATTCTCAACCCTTTTTAACTACTCTCTGATCATTTTCCCTATAACGTTCTTTGTTTCTCTAGCCTTATTAAAATTCTTTGCAGAGTGGAACAGCATCATTTGCTATTTTGAATCTTGAAATAGGGTGTGCTTAAAATCGCGTAGATCCAATGGTGTGCTGAAGCCAGGTTATGTCTGCTTGGGAGAGCCCATTGTGTGCGTTATGCCGCATAGTCTCTTCCCAGCTCAGTTTTCAGTGACATCATGTTGGTAGCTTGAACTTGGCCATTGTGGGAGGATTTATATCATGGAAATTAGCAAATGCTACAAATCAAGGCTTGTTTTCCTCCTTTGAACAGCCATTTTACCAGCACAGTATCCTTGCTACTCAAAATGTAGTTCACAGGCCAGCAGCCTACATCACTTGGGATCTTGTTAGAAATACGATGTCCAGCATCTCACCTCCCACCTCCTAAATCACATTTTTGCATTTTTTAACAAGAGTCTAGAGGGATTTGTTTGCCACAAAATGTGAAACAAGGAACTCTTAAAATCTAAAATTGATTCACTATACATAGATGGTGTCCCATAAGTTTGTTACATTGATTGAAATCCACAATATGAAACTATTGCAATTCTCAAGGCTGCTTGCCAAAGGCTGAGACGTATTTGTCCTATTCACATAGTTACTGCTGTAAAACTCTGAGTAATTTGCTTTTAAAAGTTTGAAATGGGACAATGTCCAATAGCTGGAAGAAATCTGGATTTTTAATACTAAATTAAGGACACACTAAACTAATAAAGGAAATTAAAAGGATTTTCACACATGACACTGACAAAGATTTGGGAAGGGGCATGGAGACTCTTCTTGTTTTTACATGCAACTTTGTTGGACTTAAGGTACCTAACATATGCACAAATCAAAGAAATTTTGAAACCGTGGGCTGTTATTAAGAAAGCAGCTGTAGCATCTCTTATTAATGGCTTCTTCAGTGCAGTAGAAATAGAGCAAATACCCTGAGTAAAATATGAAGAATAAGCCTAGAAGCACACATGAAACTTGCAACATCAAACTCCAGTCTGCCCATTGTAGAAATTTCTGAAAAGCTTCAACAGATGAATATTTGTGAAAAAGAAGTCTCGATTATTGGCAAAGAATGGACCTCAAGTCAAGCTGCTTGAGTTCAAATTCCAGCTCTGCCACTTATTATTAGCTGTGTGATCCCAGGAAAGTTACTCTGTATCTCAGTTCCTTACCTGTGATATGGAAGTGTAAGAATATTACCTACCTCATTGCATGTGATGGTTGTAATACCCAAGCCCACGCTTGTGGTCTGTGGTGTGGCCCAGGCGTCAGGAGTCCTAAAATATCCCAGGTGATTTTAATGTGCAGCCAGGATTGAGAACCACTGGTCCAAGGGCATGATTAAGCAGATGTAAGAAACAAGCATGTAATAATTTGGGGGAAGTATGTTGAAAAACTGTAATGGTCTCGATGTGATTGTTATCTATTTTTGCTTCAAGGGTTAGCCTGCTAGCACTGTAAGTCTGGAATCTTGATGGGGATATGCTTACCCAATGCGGATCAGCTTGAGGGGTGCAAAAGGAGAAGGACACTACCTCTCACGGGTCGACTAACCAAAGACTAATTTGACTTGAAAGTCAATTAATCATTTACAATGAGGACTATCTCTTTCCTGAAGGAATACCTACTTGGGAAACCAAGTTAACATCACAAAACTATTTGACAAACCTATGAAATCAGGAAAGGGTTCATAGTCTGGAGGAGGCATGAAATAAACTAGATTCTACATTCTAGATTGATGTCCTCAAACTCTGCTACGTGTTAGCATCACCTGGCCTGGGCCATACTGCAGACCAATTGAATCAGAATCCTGAAGGGTTGAACTCAGGCATCAGTACTTATAAAAAAAACTTTCCAGGTCTTCCCTGGTGTCGCAGTGGTTGAGAGTCCGCCTGCCGATGGAGGGGACACGGGTTCGTGCCCCGGTCCGGGAAGATCCCACATGCCACGGAGCGGTTAGGCCCGTGAGCCATGGCCGCTGAGCCTGCGCATCCAGAGCCTGTGCTCTGCAAGGGGAGAGGCCACAACAGTGAGAGGCCCGCGTACCGGGGAAAAAAACAAACAAACAAACAAAACTTTTCAAATGATCCCAAAGGACATCCAAGTTTGAGAACCAAGGAGATTATTCTTCTTCCCTTGTGCTCCCAAATTCCTCTTTTCAATGCTTCAGTTCATCTGATAATGCTTAAATTTACGTTAAAAGTACTTGAATGATATAGGAAATGTGTTAATATGCTCTAATCCCCCACCCCCTAAATATCGACAAGCTTCTTTTTTGATACAGATTCTTCTAGATAATGAGACTATAATTAATTATTGAATTCATAGAATCCATTAACTGTGGAAGTATTCCAAATATCAGTTATGGGAAGTATTTGTTTATGCCTGAGTTTTAGAAGACGAACTTACTCATTTGAACTTAATTTGCATTTACAGTATATATCATAAAACTACAGAGAAAAAGTGAACTAAGTCACAAGGTTTTGTGACTCCTTTTATGACACTGTATTGTAACTACAAATGATCGTGAATTGGCATGAACAATTAGCAGGGCATCTTGTCACCTGATTATAACAGAAATGCTCTTTCCTTTGAAGAACTGGCTGAGAAAAGAGCTTCTGCATCTCTCTCATGTTCATTACCAAGTGCAGCGAATTGCAAATAATAGGTACTCAGTAATGTTTTTAGAATTAAATTACCTTAAATCCCTTTCTTTTAAGACTAAAGCAAAACCAATAAAGCAGGTCTATTGTTGTGAAGACTCGGGCTTTGCTTCTTGAGTATACTGTGGATGTTACATGCACACATTATTTGATGATGTCACGAATGAGCATTTGGAATCAAGTTGAGCACTCTATACTGTTCACAGAAAAGCATTTCCTCTTCTCAACTTCAAAATTGTTAGTTAAATTCTCAGAAACACAGCCTTCCTAAGGTCACCGTCTCTCCTACCTGGCTCCTCCCTTTCTTGCTCTAGTCTTCCCGCTACAGATTCCTTGGTTCAAGGGATTTTAGGCAAATGCTGAAGGTCAGAGTTCCATCGTCATAAGGGCCTGGTCATTTTCCATTTGCATATTCAGTCTCCCAATTAGAATTACAAAATTCAGTCAAAAAATTTCTTAAACCTGATTGGGAATTTGAGGCAAATGACTACCTTTAGCTATTTATGATTTTTGTGAAAATCCATACATGCAATGATGGAACATATGAAGAGGATGATCAGTTCTCATTTTTCCATCCTTCTTACTCACTCATTTCTTTCTCATGAATTTTCTTGTCTGGCATTATCAAACAACAAAATAAATGGCCTTCATGAGCACTGATTTTCAAACTCAAATAAATAGCTAATTAATACAATAAATATATTTTATTTATGTTGTATTTATTATAGTCTATTCTATTAATCTTATATTTTCTAAAAAATATATATTTAAAAATTTTAATAACATTTTATTCAACTTAACATATCCAAAATATTATCACTTTAACATGTACTCAATATAAAAATTGAGATATTTTACTTTTTTTTGTTACTAATTCTTTGAAATCTGGTATTTACAGCACATATCAATTCAGACCAGCCATTTTTCACGTGCTCAGTGGCTACATGTAGCTAGTGACTACTATATGGGTAGTTTAGTTTTAGGCTATTTAGTGCCCATCCTTTGGGTCTCAGCTTATTCGCTCCCTCCTCCAGGAAGTAATCTCTTCCTATCTTCACATGCTGCTGTTAAGATGCCCCTTCTCTCTCTCTCTCTCTCCCATCAGTGCAGATCTCTGTGTACAGAACTGAGGGGAGGGGCTGTGTCTCCTTCCACCCTTAAATCTTTACTACTGCACCTGCCAGTAGGTAGCAGGTACATATTTGTTGAACAAGTGAATGGTCCTAGGTCACACAGTTAGTTGCAAAACTTGAATAATGTCATGTGTGGCCTCCCACCACAGAGCTATTTCCATGGTTGCCACCCCATTAAGATCATTGGTCACAGAAGATCTCAACTCATGGTGGATTCTGGCTGGAGAGCTGGATCCCGGGTCCATCTTGATAGCAGCCACTCTTCACTGAGCCCTTACCATGGGCGGGCACTGTGGTAAGCGTTTTGCGTACATTCTCATCTCTACTCCCACCATGCAGGCTCTACTGTTATTAGTCCTACCTTGCAGATAAAACTGAGCTTCCACAAGGTTGTAGCTTGTCAGAGAGATTGCTGAGATTAGAACCACGTCTTTCCGAATCTAAAGCGTTGTTCTTAAATAAACAGCTCCTTCGAAAGATAACTTTTTATGTGTGTCCTTGGACAAGTTCCACCCTCTCTTCAGGTTCAGTTTCCCCAGCTGTAAAATGACAAGTTGGAGTAGATGGGCAAACCTGCAGGGGTCCATAGGCTCCCCAAGGTCTTAGAGCCTTTGGTAAAGATCTGTAAGAATGATGTAACACAGGCAGTCCCTGGGCCCACATAGTGCCTGTGAAATCCCAACATCCATATTGAATATTTAGGCAGGGAAGCAAAAGTCATCATTATGTGAAAATAGTGACTATGAACTGACCACTTAAAAAAAATCAGGTTCCCCTTCAAAAATTCCTCCTCACTAACATCAGTATCTAATCCTAACCATTGAGTCATTATACACAAAAGATATGCCTTTTGCTGATTTTTGCAGATAAGTCAAGGCAAATTCCATCCAGTATAAATGGACTGCAGAGAGAAGTGTAATGTCTTGAGGAGGATCCAGGACGTCACGTACTCAAAGCCACTGGCAACTTAGGATCTGGCAGGCTGAAGCCAGTTAACTGTAAAAAAGAAAAACCAACAAGGATTAAGATACAAACGTTTCTTTAGAAATGGATTAAAGCCCTCACAGTTAGCAAAAAGAATTCTTCGTGCTGTGTAATTCAACATGAGGTGAAGGATGCCGATTATGCTGTCATACCATTTTGAAAGAAATATGCTTGCTGCTTTGTTCAAGTCATCAGTGCATAAATATTAAATATGAGAAACTTTGTACATTTCAATTTCATATTTTAAAGTACACCCTCAATCAAATTTTTTAAATCTACAGTTTACTCTGAAATTTTGTCCCATGTTTTTAAAAAGTGGATTCACTTTTAAGGGCCTTTATCCTGGTGCTAATTATTCTCAGCTAACGAGGCTGACCTGGTTTGCAGGTGGCCTTCTGTTGGCCCAGAAGATGAGACTAGAGGCCAGGGCTAAGGTCAGGGCCACATCCAGGGTGGTTACCAGGCACTTTCTCCCCCTTCTCTCCACAGGCTGTGGACAACGTGAACAGGAAGGAGGTGAGCAGGTGGCTGTTCTATGCAGGGGAGGGGGGCTCTGGGGTCGGTGGAGTGGTGGAATGAGCTGCGGCTCTGGTTCGAGCAGATGAAGCAGTTACCAGGTGAGTCAGACCTCTATATATGGAGGGTCCTGAATGTGACTCCTTCCTCTAGTCCCACTTGGGAACCTGGCTCAGGGCAGGAATAAATTAGCACTGGGCTGTTCCTCACTATATTGTGGGTAAAAATGGAGAAAGACACAACTCAACTGCCCAGCCATAGCGGGGCTGGTTGAGAGTGCTGTTGACCTCTTTTCTTAAGACTATTTTTTAAGAGCAGTTTTAGGTCTATGGTAAAGTTAAGAGGAAGGCACCGAGATTTCCCATCTCCCCCCACACGTGCAAAGTCTCCCCCATAATTAACACCCCCCCACCAGAGGGGTACATTAGTTACAACTAATGAATCCACACTGACATATCATCACCCAAAGTCCATTCTTAGTGTTGTATATTCTATGAGTTTGGACAAATGTACAATAAGTATCCACCATTATAGTATCATACAGTATTTTCACTGCCCTAAAAATCCTCTGCCTATTCATACTTCCCCCACTCCCCCAACCACTGATCTTTTTACTGTCTCCATAGTATTTTTGTCTTTTCCAGAATGTGATATAGTTGGAACCTTTTCGGTTCTTTTCTTTCACTTAGTAATATGCATTTAAGTTTCCTCCATGTTCTTTTAGGGCTTAATAGCTCATTGCTTTTCAGCTGAATAATATTCCATTGTCTGGTTGCACCCCAGTTTATCCATTCACCTACTGAAGAATATCATGGTTGCTTCCAAGTTTGGGCAATTATGATGAAAACATCTATATGCAGGTTTTTGTGTGGACATTGAGTTTTCAATACCTTTGGGTAAATACCAGAGAGAGTGTTTGCTAGATGTTATTATAAGATTATGTTCATTTTGTAAGAAACCATTAAACTGTCTGCTAAAGTGGCTGTATAATAAACATATATTATATATTCTTTAAAATGTAATGCATCAGGCTCATCCAAAGCAATTAAATTCAGAATCTTGGGGCAGGAAGGGAGGGTAGAAGGGGAAGATCCAGAAATCTTCACTTTTATAAGCTCCCCAAGATGAGTCTACTTTATCCAAAGTTGAGAAACTTTGTTGTAATTTAGTGTGCTGCTTATTTTATTGGTGACCTTAACATCCTTAATTTTCCCTGCAGCGTGGCATATTTGTATTTACAGGGATCAGAAGGTTGCTTCTTTTCTTAATGCACATTATAAAGGCCTATATTTTTCATCTGGAGTAGAATCATAAATAACAGCAACAGAAAGTTGGAAGGAAGCTTAAAATGCAGTGAGTTCATCCCCCACTATTCCATCTTAAGGAGTACAGGTGAAAAAATTTTAAGGACCTCTAGAGAAGTTTTCAAAACCTTTCCCAGTAATATATTCTGTAGTTAAAATAATTCAGTTGAACACAGTTTATTTATATTAGCCTTATTTGTTTTTTTCTTTTCTCATTCAAAATTCTCTGAGTTTAAATATTGTTTTAAACAAATATGAAATCTAGTATCTAGTCCTTTATTAAAACAGGGGAAAAAAGCAGTGACCATATCCTTCCCTTAAATAAATCTGCTCTAAATATTATAATATAAGCTTTTCAGAAGTTATCGTTTCCAAACTTTATTTCTTTGCCAGTCAATATTTAGCATATAGCTATCCAAGAAAAAATATTGCAAGCAGGGGTTCCAGACACACAGGATAATTTGTAACATGCCCCCAGATAGCCAGCACCAGGATCCAGACTTGCAAAAAGACAAGCTGGATTGGGTTGTGGGATGAAGAAAGCATAAAGTATACAGGTATGATGGGACAGCTAACAATGGGTTTGGGAGTCACTGGTTTTTAATTGACATTTAATCCATATCAGATGTGCCCACGTTCAGACAGTAGTTGGCACCCATCCTTTTACATCTAAGATTAAATGATAATGGTGATTAAATGATTACGGTAAATAATTTAGTTTAATTTAATGGTGATAATGGAGTTTCCAGAAAGAGAGGGTTAGAGGAACTTTATAATCAAACTCAATAGGAAGGGATTGAGTTTAGAATGCCAACAGGTTAACCGGCACTGCTGTTTTCCCTTCTAATCTCAATAAAATATAAATTCTCCCAGAGAACCCTGGACAAATATATCTTCTAATGTAGGGTCATGAATAGGAGGCCAGTAAGAATTTTATAAAGTAGTTTAAGACTACTTTATGACTTGGGTAAGTTAATTAACCTTTCTGAATCTCAGTTTTCCCCACCTGCACATGGGAAATAACAATTGTAGTGACATCATAGAGTTATTTAGGTATTAAATGAGACATTCATGAAGTATAAGAACATAACTTCTCATAGGAAATTAAATAATAAATGTTAGCTATTGTTTTTATTAATGTACCATGTGTTTTACTCATAAAGTAGGGGTTGGGAAATGGCCAGAGTGTTTGAATTTGGAGTTAAAGGTCATTTACATACACTTATGACTGGAAAGGTCTTAACCTTACCTGAATTTTATTTTCTTTATAGACTGTTACTATAAAAAGACATCCTTTAAATTTCTACCAAATTAAACATCCAGGACTCTTTAGAACAGTGTGTTTATTTTTAATTTGAAGGTGCCCTTGGGTGTTTCCATGTTCACAGGCAAAGCCAAAGACCTCAAAAGTGTTCAAGGCTTGATTGGCCGGTTCATGTCGGAATGTCATTTGCATCCCGTAACTTCCTGATTTCCCATGAACTGGAACTCAGAAATAGTTTTCTGCGAAAGTGACTCTGAGAATCAGCTGGTTGTTAGTTCATTTACTCAGGACCAGATTCTAAGCAGACATCCATAAAAGTAGCTAAATTTCCCCACTGGTTTAAGGAAGCTTCTTTTGTTGGCACAAATGCATTCCCTTCAGATTTTATCTATTATATTAATTCTATACTGCTTGAAATAAATTCTTTCTGTTCTCCTTCAGTAACCTAGGACTTGTATGAAATCTCTCTGGCCATATAAATTCATGAATTCAGAATAAAATGATTAAGCAGAAAACAAAGGAAAACAAAATTCAAAAAAAAATCTTGTTTTTCTGGATGCTTGGATCCATTTAAATTAAATCTAAAATACTGTAAATTTCCCTAATAATTAGTGATGTTAAACATCTTTTCATGTGTATGTTGGCCATCTGTGTGTCTTCTTCAGAAGAACATCTATTCGGGTGCTCGGCACATTTTTTAATCAGGTTCTTTGTTTTTTTGCTGTTGTTGTTGCTGAGTTATATGAGTTCTTTATATATTTTGGATATGATTGGATATATGATTTTCAAGTATCTTCTTCCTTACCACAATGAGATATCACCTCACACCCTTTAGAATGGCTATTATAAAAAGGGCAAGAAATAACAAATGTTGGAGAAAAGGGAACCTTCATGTACTGTCGTGGGGGTGATGTAAATTGGTGCAGCCATTATGGAAAACAGTATGGAGATTCCTCAAAAAATTAAGAATAAAACTACCATATGATCCAGCTATTCTACTTCTGGGTATTTATCCTATGCATATGAAAACACTAATTAGAAAAGATATATGCACCCCTATGTTCATCACAGAATTACTTACAATAGCCAAGGTATAGAAACAACCTAAGTGCCTACAGTGGATGAATTAATAAAGAGGATGTGGTATATATATATACACACACACACACACACACACACACACACACACACACAATGGAACACTACTCAGCAATAAAAAAGATAAAATCTTGCAATTTTCTGCAACATGGGTGGACCTTGAAGGTATCAGGCTAAGTGAAATGTCAGGTGGATAAAGACATTTTATCATACACTAAGTACTGTATGATTTTACTCATATGTGGAATAAAAATACTCCCAAAATATAAATGACCAAACCAAACAAAAATAAATATATAGATACAGAGAACAGATTAGTGGTTACCAGAGTGGAAGCGGGGTTGAGAGAGGGCAAAATGCGTAAAGGAGCTCAGATGCATGATGACAGAAGGAAACTAAACTTTTGGTGGTGAATCTTGTGTAAACAGTGGAGACAGAAGTCAAAATATGTTGCATGCATGAAACTTTAAAAAAAATTTATGTGAAATTATTTTTATTCTAGTGTGTCTTTTATTTCAGTCATTCTACCACTAGAAAGTATTTATTTGAGTGCCCAGTTCTATATATATCACTATGGAGAAATTCAAGAAGTTTAAGAAATGGCCCCAAATCTCAAAGATTTTATAATCTCACTAGCAGACAAATAGTCAGAAAACAATTATAACAAAATATGATTAAATATCAAATGGATGTCAAAGGAGTACAAATAAGGAACTGATTAGGGGTTAATTTGGTCCATGGAGGGAAAAAAAAGCATTGAAGAGTTTACCTTCAGCAAGTCTCAAATCCTGGAAGGTTAGAATAAATTTGCAACAGGCAGAGATACCTGG